GGTGTGTGTGTGTGGCCAGCTCAGCCCACCAGGGGGCGCGACTGGCTGGCATGTGGTGCTGGGGGATTGAACCGCGGTCCCTGATGCTTTACGAAGCTTGTTCTAAGTAGGTGCTTTAGACCACTGAGCCATCTCTCCAGCCCCTGTTGTGGTGGTTTGACCCCAAAGATACTTGGGTCTTTTTTTATTTCTTGGTTGGTTGGTTTTTTGAGGCAGGGTCTTGCTATGTAGTTCAGACTGGCCTGGAACTCACTATGTAGCCCAGGCTGGCTTTGAATTGAATTCACCAGGGTGCTTCTGCCTCAGCCTCCCAGGCGCTGGGGTTACAGGTGTGCTCCCTTTTGGGTCCTGAGTGGGCTCTGGGGCAGGCTGAGCTCCTCCTGCCCCTCCATCAGCAGCAGCAGTGCTCCCTGGGCTGCTTACAGCCAATGCCTGTGTTCCTCGCACCGGGATGATCTGCCTCATGTGTCAGCCTTTTAGATTTAAATTTTATTTTTCACGGTCCTGGGCATGGAACCCAGAGTTTCCCGCGCAGCCTCAGCCTTGGAGGCGAGTTTGGACCCTGCGCACACGCAGCGCCTTCCCTTGGTCCCACCGGGTCCAGCAGCTTCTCCCAGGGGCCACCTTCACCAGCAGTGCAGGTCACACGCTCAGTACCTGGAGCCCTGCTGGTGAACACGTGTCCCCAGCGGCCTGGGAGAGAGAGCTCCTTGGGGCACTGAGCTCTCGCTGGGTCACGGGGGAACCCAGAGTGTTGTGGCTGCCTCTGCTGGAGTCCTTCTACACTCTCCTGGTGCTGGCGACGGAGTGACAGTGGGGACAGGCAGGGTGGTAATGTCTGTGGTGATACTAATGACAAGGTGGCTTTGGCAGTGCCAGCCAGCAGTGCCAGCCACGACCACAGCTGTGCTAAGAGAGAAGCAGTGTGATAACCCATCCTGTCCAGCGTGTCACACCCTGTCCTCCGGAGCGTTCCTATGATCTGGCACCTGGCATCCATAAGACAGCTCTGCAGGGACTGTTGTCACCCCATTCCACAGATGAGAAGCCAGCAGAGTGGCTCAAAGCACATGTCCTGAGGTGCACCTGTGAGGTTGGCACAGGTCCCTGGTGGTGGTCGGTGTCCGTTGTCCGTCAGGGCAGTGGTGCAGTGGTACTGGTGGCAGTAGCAGTGGCTTGGCTGTTGACAGTGGCAGCAGTCATATTGGTGCAAAACAGATGTGTGTTTGCATGACAGCGACAGTGGCAGTGTCTCAGCCGAGGTGACAACTTAGTGGTGGCAAGATGGTGGTGAGGGACCTGTTATGGTGATGTCCTCGGCTTTGGTAGTTTCAGGGAGGAGACACTGCCGGTGCCAGTGTCAGTGTGGGTACAACCTGACAGGGATGGGGACAGGGTGGGGGACCAGAGGGTGACAGAGCGCCTCTCTCTGCAGATGTGAAATTCCTGAACAACCACAGCCTGGTGAAGGACGCTCAGGAGAAGGCAAACGCAGCCCTGCTGGACTACACGCTGTGCCACTACCCGCACTGTGGGGACAAGTTCCAGCAGCTGCTGCTGTGCCTGGTGGAGGTGCGGGCCCTGAGCGTGCAGGCCAAGGAGTACCTGTACCACAAGCACCTAGGCAACGAGATGCCGTGCAACAACCTGCTCATTGAGATGCTGCAGGCCAAGCAGACCTGAGCCACAGGAAGGGAGGCCCCAGCCTGAGCTAGGAGTTGTGCGTGGGATGGGCAGGGCCTGGCTTGGGAGGTGGGCCTCATCTGTCACCCAGAGTGCCCCAAAGGAGGTGGCTGCCAACCATCCTCTCCTTCCCTCCTCCCAGCTTCCATCCTGGAGGCAGAAGCACAGGGCAGGGCAGGGGAGGAGGTCTGGGACTCACTGGGAGGCCTTGATATTCCCCCTCCTTCCCCCCCCCCGTCCTGGAATCAGAAGCAGGGGAAGTTGTGTGGGCATCAGTGGGGGAAGGAGAGGGGTCTGCAGATCCTTGTGGAGGGAAGAGAAGGCCTGTGTTTTCTATACTAGAGAGAAGTGGATTTGCAAAGTTGGGCGGGGGTCTTTGGCCCTGCAGGAAAGCTAGACACTGGTGAGGACCAAAAGACCTCCCAGGGCCCTCAGCGCATCTCACTTCTGCAGGGGAGGCTCTGGTCCAGGAGTCTGCTGCCCCCTCTCCCCACCCTCTGCTTGCCCCCCAGGAAGAGCTTTGGTAACTGTCCATATCCCACCCAGCCTACACTAGCCACGAGCTGGAACTAATCTGCAAGGGTGTAGTCAAGAGGATTTTGCCTTTTTGTTTCCCAGTCTCCTACACACTCTTCAAAAGCTGTGTGTGTGCTGGAGGGCAGGAGTGAATTGGAGGACAGAGCCCAGGTCCTGCGGGTCAGCACCAAGTACAGGCCCAGACTTCTTCCCCAGACACTGGTCCCCTGTACTCGAGGGTAGGGTGGGGCTGGGGGCTGCATCATTTTTCTGAGCACCCTGCTGCAATCCTGAGAAGACCTGCGCTTGTCCTCCGCGTTAGGAGGTGAATCACAGTGGCCGGTGGGCTCAAAGTCCTAAGGGCGGGAAATGACTAAACCCGAGAGGCCGAACAGGCCCCAGGGGCCGGGCCAGCACTGACGAGCCCTCCTTCATGGCCCTGCCCCGGAGGTCCTGGCTGCAGCCCTTGAAGCTCCCTCAGCTCTCTGGCCTCCTCTGCTGTCCACCCTGCTTTGCGTCCCTGTTGCAGCTTGTGCTGAGCCTGCCAGGCGGGACAAGGCTGGGCATCCCCACTTGCCATGGCCCTGTTTCAGCCCCCACTTTGGCCCCTTGAAATGCATGCCCCTGCCAAGGCCAGAGACCCACAGCTCTGAAACAAGAAGTGCCCTTACGAATTCTGCCAGCCCCCGAAGCCCTCGAATAAATTTTGCAATTAGTTTCCAGCTCCTTTTGCTGATGAGTCTCTGAGTCCAAAGGGGAAACCCCTCAGTGGATTTGGGGGCCGGGGTAGGGCAATGCTTGACTGTGATGGTGGTGACAAAGCAGACAACTTTTGGCTCCAAACTCTGGGGAGAAGCCAGGCATGGTCATGCATGCTTGTAATCCCAGCACTCAGGAGGCTGAGGTAGGAGGTTCGTTGTGAGTTGGAGACCAGCGAGACCCCATCTCAAGAGACCTTGACTCAAAAGGACAACAAACAAACTCTGGGGAGGCAGGATGGGTTGTAGGTGCCAAGGTGAGGGGCATCAGGCACTGTGGAGATTGGGCCCCCAGGGTAGAAAGGAGCAGTTGCTTAGTGAGCACCTACTGCGTCCCCTCCCACATCTCACTGTCCCTACAGTGTCCCTGAAGCCATGGATTCTGATGCAGCAAGGGGAGGCATCTGCCAAGGGACCTTCCCCAGCACCCCAGGGGGACAGACCCCCAGCTATGTCCTCTCTCAGCCCTCGGTCACCACCCTGGCTGACTCCCCTCCTCCAGGCACTCAAGGTGGCGAATGGAGTGACATTGAGGATGCCTGCTTTGTCCCAGGCATCCAGGTGGATGCCTCACTGACTTGTCCCACTGTCCCACCTGTTCCTCAAAGCCACTTCTGGAGATGGCAGCCCCAGATGACAGATGAGGAAACTGAGGCACAGAGGGGTGAGTGGACCGTCAAAACCACACAGCTAGAAGGAGACACAGCCACCCACTGCACACAAATCCATTGTCCTGACCCACCTTGACCAAGTGTGGGGCCACTGCTGTCCTTTCAGAACTTCCCTGCCCGAGAACAGGCATCCATCTGCCTCAGGGTAGGGTAGCAGTGACTGCTACCGAGGGAAAGGGGTGCCCCTCTCCTTGACAACCGTAGAACCAAAGTGGAACCCTGGTTCCTGCCCCAGGGCACTGTCCAATCTTATAAAAGGGGACTCTTGCTCAGATTATAATCCAGTGCAGGGTGTCATGGAACTGAGCCAGATAAAATGAGGTAGAAGTCATTTCTATTCCTGGGGGACCAAAGAAAGGATAGGAAAGTCTTATAGCTAAAGCACCATCCATATTGGTAGGCGGGTGCTTAAGCCACTGAACTATCTCCCTAGCCTACACCATCCAATTGGGTTTTGAAGGATGCCTAGGAGTTCACCAGCTGAAGAGAGGTTGGGGTAGTCCAAGCAGAAAGGAGTGTGAGGGTAAAGGGACGGAAGGAGGTCAGTGGGCAGCATTTGGTTGCAGAGTAAATGGGTATGTATACAGGGGGAAGGTATGGAACAGAGAAGAGGCTCTCCATCCCCTCAGCAGCCCTTATAATTTGGTTGTGGCAACATAGGAGCCCTCCAAAAGAGAGGTGGAGGAGCCAGCACAGGAAAATTCAGCTTGCTTTCTTCCTCCTCAGGCCCTCAGGCTCCGCACATTCCAGGCCCCCACCACAGCAAGCACCATGCTTCTGGGACAGTGAACAGCTTGGCCTGCCCTCCCCCGTCACCAGGCAGGGGCTTCACTGCTCTCTGGCACCTCCAAGGCCTCAGCACAGTCTGCAGACTGAGGCACCCTGCACGTGTCCCTTGAGATGTTTCCTGGGTGCCCAGGTCGAGATGCCAGACCCAGGGCTTGTGTGCTAGCTCAGTCTCTTGGATAGGTTTCGTCCCAGACACCACTGCGGAGGTCCCAGGGTCTCGGTGCTTCCCACGCAGCCCCCCTCTGCCTTCCTGCACAGCCTCCAGCCTCGTCCCTCACCCTGCCTGACTTCCCGCCCCCGGCCCTCCTTGCCAGCCACTCCCCCACACCACCACCAGCACGAAGCCCACGCAGAGCTCCAAGAAATCCCAAGCCTCTGCTCACTGTGCCCAAGAGGGGACCAAAGCTCAGAGAAGAATTTCGGTGTTTGGTGCTGGCTGGACCCACCCCTCTGCTGCCCCTGCAGCTGCCTTTCCTCCACCCTGTGCTGCATGGTCTGGGGACCTCGCGTCTGAGTCTAGGAACTGCCCTTTCCTGTACAGAAGGGCAAGGGTAGTCCTGCACTGAGGACTCCTCGCCCTAAGGCTCGGGAACACCGATCTCAAGGGCCCACCATGGACCATGCTGGCCAGCTTGAGTCTCCCCCGTCCCTTGCAGCCTGGTGTTTCTGTCCCCTTCCCAGGCCAGGAGCACTCCAGATGGGGACAGCAGAGCCTGGACAGCACTGTTTATTATCAGGCATAGCAAGGCATGGGGACAAACCCTGGGCAGGACGGGGACAGTGGGGGAAGCGAGTCACAGGGAGGACAGGGCACACCTCAGGTGAGGTGTGTTGAGCTGGTCCGGGCTGCTGGCTTGGCCTCCCTTGGGATGGCACGGCCAGTTGCACCTCACATCCAAGTTGCAGTTCTGGGATGAGGTCCCCAGGCCAGCTGAGCTAGAAACCTGGGAGGCAGGGGCAGATCTTGGAGTGGTTGCAGGGAGCCCCAACATCAGGTAGGACAGAGGTGACCTTGGCAGGAAGCCTGGCTCGGGTCACCCTGGCCAGCACCCTTCAGGGCCTCTCTGAGCCTCCATTTCTCCACTGACAGCTGCCTGCACACCTGCAAGGCTGCTGGGCTTTCAGGAGGAGTGCGGTGGCACTGGGAGGGATCCACGACAGGGGGCCTCTGCCCAGGCCCCTCATGTGTTGCAGGGTGGGTTGGGGGCTGGAAGCTGCATGTGGAAGCCGGGCCAGGGCTGGGGGTCGGGAGGGTGGGGCCAAGGTGGAAGCGCTTGGTTGCTAGAGCGGCCCTAGCAACGCACCCATTCAGCAGAGACAAAGGCGCTGTCACTTGAGCACAGAGGCGCCAGAGGCTCTTGTTCCCACAGACGTCGCGCCCGCGGGTGCCGTGGGGGTGGGGCAGGGGTCCCCCTCAGATCCCTGGCCCACACGTCCCCCACCGGCCTGCAAAGGGCAGCCAGCCCATCTTGCAGAAAGGGAAGCTGAGACCCGGTGGCGCGGACTGGGTCCGCCTTTGCCTGCCCTCAGACCCACGGGACTGGAGCAGGTGGGACTTGGTTTTCCATCTGAGCAGGTGGGCCTGGCATCTGCTCTGGGCCCGCGCTCCCGGATCATTGCAGTAGACTCCATGTGGCTGGCCCTTCCGGCTCCTTAGCCAGGCCTCTGGGTCCCAGCTGGAAACACGAGCCTGAGACTGGGCAGGGTGGGTCTGGGATTGTGGGTACTCAAAGCGGGTGTGATGGCGCACATCTGTCCCTGTACTCTGGGAGGCTGAGGGAGGAGGCTCAGAAATTCAAGCCCAGCCTGAACTACTCTGCAACTTAAGGAGACCCTGTCTCTAACTAAAGCATAAAAAACGGACTGGGGCTGCAGCTGGTGCGCATGCCCAGGGTTCAATCCCTGAGGGGGTGGTGCTGGCATGCAGCAGGGTCACCGTGCCCCCCCCACCTTATTCCTGTCCCTCAGCAGTGCCTCCCCCTGACTTTCAGGCCCAGAGAGGGGACCCTTAGGTTGAGGGAGGTCGGTGTGCATGCTTCTCAGATAACTGGCACTGGGCCCAAGGGGAGGGGTGCAGTACCTGAGGCCTTGAATGCTGTCAGCTCCACAGCCTAAGGACAGAGGACACAGCGTGGGCCCCACTCCGGCTCCCCTGCCCCAGGGCCCTTGGAGATGGCGCCTCCTTCCACCCAGCAGCCTTGGCATTCAGTTTTGCCCACAGCTCACACAGCTGCTCCCAGCAGTGGAGGCCCAGGTTCCCAGGGGCCGC